GTCTACCAATTCTCAACTTTTGTGCAGCTGACAAGTTTTGTTTGGCGGACTTCTTCCTTGATGCCACCCACACACACAGACACATTAGGAAATTGGCCACGAAATTGCCTAAATTGCTTGATTGAAATGTATTTAGTGATAAGCCACGAATCACATTTAAGCAGCTATTGGAGTAGCAATTCGTGTAACATAGGTTAACAATTAAATAAATTAATTATACAAATATAGAATATAAAACAAAAAAGGAATTAAACCCGTATAAAGTGACCAATAACAAAATATTTTGCTATTAATAATATGAATAATTAAAATAAAAAATATGTACTATCGAGAATAACTTCAATCAAAATTTTGGGAAAGAAACCAAAAAAAATAAAGTTGATCAAACCCGCATACTAAACGGCACAATACATCCAATACGAATGTTAAGTAGAGATAGCTTCCACTATTATTCTTATTATATCAGCTGCAAGTTGAACCTGACGAAACTCTAATTAGAATTCAAAATTGACCGTAATCGAATAAGAACTCAATGTAATAAAAATCCAATCCGATTCAATGACAACTCTTATATCTATGCTATAATCTTTTTGTTATCCAATAAGCATCCAATACGAATGTCACACGCCATAAATTCCATTTTTATTCTTCCAACTCTACTTGATCGAACACTAATGAGAGTCCAATACGAACGTCAAACGCCATCATTTGCCATTCTTATATTCATCTAATATTATTTCCATCGCTTCTCGCTCACCTTTTGGATGTCCAAATAAATGCAATAAGCAATATACGTTAGTTGTAAACGATGTTTTGTTTTTGAGCTGTTGCTTCAATATATTTTACACATTTTACACCATTTTCCGTAAATATTTGTATATTTGTATAATATTTGTAGTTAATTTTGTTTTGTAATTCCGTTTTGCTCAGGCAAACAAATTTAATGCAATTTGCTGCTGATTTGCATTTAGCTGCGTTAGAACGAAACAAAGCATGTGTGAGTGCGTGCGTCAAGGAGTGGGTATTCTAACTGTTTTGGTATTAGTCGTTTTTCTTCTTTAGGTCCTCTTTTGGTCTTTTGGTTTATTTTCTTCTTCTTGTTTTTATTTTAGCGTCGTTTGTCGTTGCTGGTGACTTTTTTCGCTGTTGCTTATCTTATTTCGCGTATCACGGAACTCGTTAAAATCACCTTAGAACACGTGACTGCACGTCATGCACAAGCAAACACACGCAGACACACACACACGGGAACGCACACACATGCAGACAGAGCTGTGAAGCAACAGCGCCGCTCAGGTGCAATGTCAAAAACACAAAAATCTGCACATGACTCGCAGCGGGAAATGGTAAATATGTGCATTCAAAAATACACACAAGCACACACAGAGTCACACACACATACTCGCTAACTAACTAACTCACACACACTTGTGCACTGCGTAGCAACGTATGTTTCAATTCGCGTAATTGTTAGCTGCAGTTTGTTGCTTCGCTTTTTGTTTTTGTTTTCGCTTTTCGGTTTTGGCTTTTTGCTGCTGTCCACAGACAAAAAAATCTAACTGCGACAGAGCGCTCGAACGCACAGCAATCCTCACGCAAAGGCAACGCAATGAAAACTGAGCCAAGAACTCGCGTTCTGTTTGCCGAGTTGTGTTCGGCTCGTATCCTTTGCACAGATTTTGCACAACGAAAGCGAGACACGAAGTGCGATTGCGTGCTTCGGCTGGGAACACGAAACCATGCACGAAGCTGCATTCGGTTTGCTAGTTAACAAAACGCATCCAACGAGAGCAGCCAACTGGTGGGTGGTTTGGAGTAAGAGACGGAGTAAGGGAAAGAGAGAGCGTGTTTTTTGCGTGGTGCGTTAAGCTCTTAAGTGTATCAAAAGGGGAAGCATAACTGGGGGAATATTATGGGCAATTGGTGAATAAGCAGTTTATCGGCTTGTGTTAATTCAAAAATATTCATAATTATCTTTTTAGATATTTATGGCTAATAAGGCTTGGTTCTGATTGGGCTTACAATATTTTAGGTAACAAAAGCATATGAATATTATGCATAACAAATTTACGACAATATTTATTTAAGTCAAGCCAATAAAATTCATTCATGATTATCTGACTCTTCGTCTTATACACAGCTTATGTTAATATTCACAAAAATATATGATTTTGCCATTAAAATAAATTTATCTTTGATTTATTAATCTCTGTAAATAAAATTAATTTGCTTCACAATACAGTTAACTTTTCCCCACTTTTCATTTCATAAACTACATTCGAACTGCTTGATCTAGGAGTCATCAGAACTGCTTTCTTTTGCACCACACTTCCCCTTCGTTGAAAACTCACCTCATCATTTCTCCTCCGAAGTAAACTATTTCACCTCACTTCTCCTGCTTATGCTCAGTTCACTTGTGAGATTTGGTTACCCCTACTTGAGTGTACACTGCTTGTGTCATTACTAAGCACTGCTTAAGTGTTAAATATATCTGAACTGTATTCATTACTAAATAACTGCTTTGAATTTTCACTTAAAATCAAATTATTTTATAAGAAAAATGTAAGACAAATAACAAAACAAATGAAAAATATGAGAAAATCCTAAATATTTTAATTTTTTTGTAGACATATAAATATATTATTAAGCTTATATTACTTTAAGCTTAAAATAATAAATAATAAATATATAAATATTTTATGGAATAATAATTTAAAATCGATATTTTTCTATATGAAAACTAATGTCAGATAATTAGATAATTACATATTTTATTAAATGGAATATATGGGAAAAATGAAAATTAAATAAAACATTTTTAATTTTTATTTATTATTTTGAAAAATATTACATTTATTTACATTTTAATTTATTTATATTATTTTTTGTATAATTATTTGGAATATTTAAACATACAAAAAATTGATACAATATTTTTTAGATCATGCGAATATTTTTTACATTTTTTAATTCAACTGAATATTGTTACTTAATATTTCTAAATAGAAAAATTTATAAGTCGACAAGTTAGAGCCATTTGTTGTCCCATTTAGATAATCTCATAAATTGCATTTTGTGTGCCACATTTCGTGGCATCATTTTGCAGTGTTGTAAAGTGTCCGATAGAAGTCGCTGAACTCGAGGAGCTCAATTTATTATCCTTCTTCTATATATATATATATATATATATGTGTGTGTGTGTGCATATAGGGCCGTTACTCCAGTTGGCCTATGACGATGCTAATGACTCAAGCGTCTCCAGTTGTCTGCATAATTTGTATTATTTTTAGAGCACGACCAGTCGCTTGCCAACTGCGTGTGTGGAGGCTGTAAGGCTGTGAGGCTGTGGGCGTGGCAGGCTAATGAACTAGAAATGTGTTGTTCCAGTTGCTCCAGTCACATCAGCATAATTGCAATTTTTATGATTATGACATTTTGCCCAGAGTCTCGAGTCAAGTCGTTTCGGCCAATGGCAATCAATTTCCGTGTCCTTTTCGTTCTTTAACTGCTACTACCACTGCTGCTGCTTCTACCTTCATTTGACTTATAAATAACGCAGTTGAGTTTTAGTTTTTTTTCTTTTTTTTTTTTTGAACAGCCAAAAAGTCGCCAAACATTTTGGCATCGCCCCGAGTTGAGGCAATTTAAATAGTTTCTTAAGTGCACATATTCACACTGTGATTTATTATGTATATATACATATAGATATATATATATATATGTATGCCCTTAGTGAAAGGATTTACATATATTTAGCTACAGATTTAACACTAGATAATTATGATTATATATTAAACAAAATAAAACAGAAATTATAATTACATATTTTTATTTATTTAATTAAATAAGAAACATATTTTTTTAATAATATATATAATTTTATTACAGCCTCAACTTACACTTAATATACAAATTTCTATATAAATAATTTAACATTTGCAGATGACGCTTTGGCCATTTCGAGTTGCAAGTCGCGAAGACGCGTTTTTTGGCCATCTATGATGAGGTACAAATTACTACCTGAACCTGGGCAACTGCGTATGCTAATCGGCTTAGTGATTCCAGAGAAATGTCCTTTACGCGAAGGTCAAACTTTTAAGCAAGCAGCTGCATGTCAAATGCTCGGGAATTACCCGGAATTCAGGTAAGATTACGGGACATTTTGCCCTTAGGCTTTTGTCCTATAAATAGCGTGCTTCAGCTACGATCGTCAGTTCAGTTCAGTCCAAGCGTTTGGTCCGTGGTGAAGTGTCGACTCAGCTCTGTGCTTAAGTTCATTTTAGTTGAAGTCTTTAAGTTTATATTAAGTGCAATGTGCCTCAACATTCAACTTGTGATAATAGCAAAATCTAAAATAATTCCTCTGAGTCGACATGGGTTCGTCTGTCCGTATTAAAATTGTATATAAAAGATAATCTTAGAATTATCTGTTTTGCTTAAAAATTATTCAAATTCTCTGTATATATTTTTAATTATTTCTCTTTTAAACTGTTTTTCACTCAAATATTTTTCAATCTTTCTGTATATATTTTCGATCTTAATGCTTGACTCTACTTCACACTTTATAAAATTCTATTTTCATTTTTTTCAAACTCTTTTCACTGACTTCGATATTTTAAAATTTTTCTGTACATATTTTTGACTTGATTTCTCTTTGTAAAATTCTATTTGTATATATTCCTCTTCTTTCTCTTTTCTAATTTCTTAAAACCAACTCAAATAAATTAACAAAAAATCACAAAAACTTAGAAAATATTTCGAATATTTCAAACAGTTTTAAACAGTCGTAGCTCAGCTCAGTAGAAACAACAATTTTAAATTCAAATAATATTGCTTTAAGTCCTCCTTCACATAGCTTCATTTATAACTAGTCTACCCCAAAAACAACAATCCGTTTTTTGACTTTCGTTTCTTTGCCTTTGCTTTCAAATCCATATTAAATGTGGTTTTTATTGTGTTCTCTGAATTTATGACTAAATTTTTTTTTTTATTTTTCCATCGGTTAAATTCATTTCTTTACAATATACATTATAAATACGTTTGTTTATCTTCATAAATAGTTCATATAATAAATTTCGTTTAAGTACAAATGCGAGTATTAAGTCAAGCCAAACTGTAAATCTTAAATTTTGTTGTGGACACTACTGAAAATATTACGCATTGTTTCTCTTTGTTTTTTTTTTGTTGTTTGTGTTTTTGGTTTTGTTTCTGTTTTGTGTTGTTGTTTTTTTGTTTTTGAATAATATTTTTCGTGTTTGTTGGTCTCGCATTTGTTAAATAATTCAATGCCTAGGCGACCTTCTTAATTACGTTGAATAAATAAATGAGTTTGAGTGTAGGAAAACGTTATTTTCTAAATGTTATATGTTTTAATTGTTTTTTTTTTCTGTATTCTGTGGTGCTTTTGTTTTTTTTTTTGTAGTTTTTTTTTTTCCTTTTGTTTGTGCAGTATCTTATCAGCTTGAGTAACAATCACCTTTCCCCAGCATAAGGTTTACCACTGATTCGAGGGGCGACGCTCAGCTCCGGGCGCAGCGCTGCCGGAGAATCGCGGCGAGGAGCTCTGCGAGGAGCTGCTGCTGGGCAAACTACTGCAGGCGGCTTCGGAAGCCAGAAGCGTATGAATGGCCGCCAGCAGCTTCTTGCGAGCTCCGAACGCAGTTATGCCCAGCTCCATGAGATTCTCCTCTGTCAGTGTTGGAAACATATCCAAATCGATTTCGTTTAAAACGAAAATTTCTGCATAGAAAAAATACAAAGAAAAAAAAATTAACGAGAAATAGCAAAGAATATGCAAAAAAAATATATACAAAATATATTTAAAAAAATAGAACGAAAAATAAATAAACTAAAATATGCTAAAAATATATATCCTAAAAAATATTGAAACAAATTATTAAAAAAAACCTAAAACGTACTAAAAAAATTATTAAAAAATACAATTAAAAAAATACAATAAAAATACATCTAAAAACTGAAAATAATCATTTACAATATAATTAATAAATAAATTATATTGGAAGAAAAATACAAAAAAAAAAAAATTAAAAAATTAGTAATAATTAAAAAATGTCAAAATTTGTAAATAGAAAATTAAAAAAAAAAATAGTTGATATAATTAACTAGCAAATATAATTTGCAACTATTAAGTATCTTCAATAACACTGCCACAAAAGTACAAACGATAACAATAAAAAAAATTGACTTTAGCTTCCGGCTATAACTAAAAAAAAAAAAAAATTAACACGTAAAATGAAAAAAAAAAATACCTCTGTAAACCTCACTCTTTACCCCATCCCTCCAACTCCATGCATCTCTTGCTGACTATCCCAAACTATGGCAATGGAACCAACAGATCACTACGACTGACAGCTAAATGGCTGGAAATCTCTTCGAAAAACAAATGTGGGACAACAAAGCCAAATTGCCAACTTCAGCTCCGACAAGGCTTTTCGAATGAAATCATAAGAGGAAACCTCGACAACAAAGTTATACTGCAAGCGTCATGTGTGAACGTCATTTGTCTTCAACAAAAATTCTCTCGAAACTCTTCTTTTGTCTACTCGAAGAATTGGCAGACATCGCTGAAGGGAGAGATAAATAGACAAACAATATATAAGAAATCATAAAAATGTCATCGTAAACGCATCATATTTTCTACCCTACCGCTATCCTTATCCTCAGACCCTTACAACCCAAAAGCCTATTTCTACCCAATTTTCCTACAAATATTGACAAACAAAAAAAAAAAGAAGTGAAATATGAAATATTAAAATAAAAAAAGCAAAACTATTTTCAAAAAATTAAAAAAAAAAAAATAAAAATAATGTAAAATTGAAAAAAAAAATATAAAAAAAAAATAAAATAAAAAAATATTTAATAAAAAAAATTAAAAAATTTAAGATACGAAAAGTTATCTAGAAAATTACAAAAATTATCAAAAATTTTTTACGTACTTTTAAATGGAAAAAGAAAAATTATTTAGAAAATGTATGATAAGGTGTAAAAATTATTAAATAAAAAAATTTAATTAGTTTTAAATTTAAAAAAATCGACAAATAATGAAAATATACAATAAAAATTTTACATACGCTTTCTTGTTGCTTATGCAAAATTTTTATTGTATATTTTCATTATTTGTCGATTTTTTCTAATAAAAAAAAATAAAAAATAAAAAATTTAAAAACTAACAAATATTAATGAAAAATCCATTTTATCTATTACACTATTAATATATATTTAACTAGCAACTTAAGCACTATAATAATTTCTAATAACGAATTTTTAATTGTATAAGAATCTGATTAAATGTTTACGTAAACTATGTCCAAAATAACTGTATATATGCTTGACTAGAACAAAAACTTGTTGACAATAAAAATGTAATTGACAAAGAAATGCTGACTTAATGATTAGTTATAAATAAATAATAAATAAAAAAATAAATATAAATTGTTTTCTTGTAACTCATTAAAGACATGGTCCGTACTAGCTATCCTCAGAATGAATTTTAGAAAGTTCTATAAGTTTTATATAGAAGAATCCTTGAAAGCTTTGCAAGTCAACGTCTTAACCAACCAAAATCTTACCTAAACATAGGAGCGAAAATTTAAACTGAAAAACTTCCACAAAAATTTAGAGGGATTAGGGCAAATAGATAAGCCAATTCTTAGGAAGTTTTTGTAATAATTAAGAGAGAATTTACTCACTTATATAATGCTCCAGGCCGAGGCTAGTCAATAAGGTGTGTATATCCTTGTGTTGTGAGAGTTGCATTCGACGACTGACGGGCGTTGCATCAAGCAAGCCCGTGGTGGCACTCAGTCCATAGGGTGAACCCAAGCCGGGTGGCGGGAGAGGCATACGCCAACCATTAATACCACTAATTCCATCATCGACCGTCTCGAGAGGCGCCGGCGAGGTGCGACTTAGACCCATGCCCAGCCAGGCGGGCGTCGGGGTGCGCAGCTCACCTGCTACAGGAGTTCGCTCCATGGCCTTAAATCCAAGTGCGCGTTTCATATCAAAATCAAATGCGCGTTGCTGTTGCTGCTGCTGCTGCTGCTGCTGCTGTTGATGCTGTTGATGTTGCTGTTGCTGTTGCTGTTTGCCTGCAACGGCAGCTAGATCGTAGTGCAGATTACGATAGCTTTCGGCGCTGCCAGGCAACAGATGCGCTGCGCCGCTATTCATGCCATTCGTATTGCTCAATCCAAGTAAAACGCCATCGCTAAGACGACGACCTAGTCGAGCGGCACCCACAATGCTGCTCACTTCGTTGTTGTACGTGGAGTCGGGTGAATAGTGCCCTCGAGTGGCCCCCGATGAGGAGGATGTTGATGAGACGGTCGTCTGTACTTGGGCATATGGTGGATACGATTGTTCCAATGAAGTGGTGCTGCTGCTGAAGCTCTGATAGCCGCTTGTATTTTGGCTGCAACTATTTCTAGGTGATATGTTTATTGATCCTGTAACATTTACGGTGGGTGGTATATTGGCTGGGGGCTTGAGCAACCCAGCTCCTGGCACTTGCAAATAGTTGTTATTGTTGTTATTGTTATTATTGTTGATGGTGTTGTTGTTGTTGTTGTTGTTGTTGCTAGTATTGTTACTGACATTAGTGCTACTGCTGTTGTTGGTTATGGACGACAAGTGACGGGGCTGATAGCTGCTGTTATGCAACTGCATATATTTCTGTGTAGGCGCACATATCCCGGTGGGCGTGGCTAGTCCAGCACCGAGCAGCATGTGACTCTTGTTATTATTGTCATACGGCGTCAACTGTCCGCCCATTGCAGGCGGCAGCAGTGACGGCGTTTTCGGACTGTCCGGATAGCCGGCTAATAGCGCCGTCAATTGGGATCGATACGCCAGACTCACATCGCTATCCTTTGGCATGTAATAAAAATCTGGTATCTCCGGCTTAATGGCAGGCGTCGTCAGGTGTAGAATCTCCTGGCGCGCCTCATAAATTTTATCTGTATAGGCAAAGAAATGAAGAAATATGTGTACATATTATATTAATATATCCTTTTCTTCCTGTGGCAAGTCTCCTCTCGCTGTCTTTGTCCCTCTCTTAAGTTCGCTCTCACGACAATTGTGGATCCTGTAATGGTCTTGCTTGTGAATAATGCCAGATTTACACAACATTTTCTAGGCTCGCACCACAGACCAAATATGTATATAACACGAGTTATTCATCTAAAGTATAAATATCAAATGATTTCACAGGAACATGAACAAAGACAAGACAAAACGAACCTGTCAAGCCAAAATTCACGCCCAAACTAAATCGACGTTTCCACGGACTGCACACACTAAGCAACAAGTTACACTAATACCATAACAACTGAGAGACCGCAGCCTGGCACTGGCACTACCTAATTGGTTACGGCTCCCACGGTTACAGCTCTCTCACGCTCGCACCATCCACACTGCTTCGAACGTTCGTCTACGCTAAGGTGCACTAACACCATAACAACTTAGAGACACATCGACCAACTGGCTCTTACGCTCACATTCCCTACTGGGAGCTCAAGCCTAATACAGCTCTCTCACTCGAAAATAGAGAACTAAGCATTTATCTAAAACCAACGGGATCGAAAGCAGCGACACAAACTTGCAATCCACATAGGAGCAACTGTCTGCAATCCACACATACACTTATACATAAAGTCCACTCTCTTACTATTGCTTCGCTGAGGCTCTCTATAAAGTTAATTAGAGAGTGAGAATGACAGAGATAGAGTTGCACACATGTGTTTGTATAGAAGTAGATACCTAATCTATAAATTGCGAATATTTAGTTCACTTACCAATAAATTTCTCAATGCCCTTGATAACAATCGCTAATGTGCTTTGCCGTTGCTTCTGGCGTAAGGTTATATAGACACCGTGTTTGATATTCAGGCCCATTATTTCGGTGGCATCGGTCTGATTGTCCGGAAAATCAAAAATCAATGCAACTGGCATGTTGCCGAGCAATTGCTGTCGGGCTCTATAAACATCATCGATGCGTCCGCTAATTGTCACCTGCGATTTTTTCAACGGCTTCACATTCATATCAGACAGATCAGGAAAAATGATTTTGGTCTGTGTACGATCCATAATACTTAATAGATTCACGTTATTCTTGCCCTTGACTATCTCATGATGTTGCGGTGAAATTTCCATTTGAACATTCACAAGAATTTGACTCTAAAATCCATGAGAGGTAAATAGAAACGGAGTCAGGCTTACGTCTGATAGATGTTCTTTCGATTTAGTAGTACACTTACCGCAATGCTCTCAAATGCGAAATTAATCAGCAGTTGGGTGGCGTCACGCACCTGAGAGGATTCCTTTTCAGAGCCCTTGACCAGTACCAGCGATGTATGTAGCTTGGGGCGCGAAGAAAATATGACCTGGAATATGGTATTAAACAGAAGTAATTAGTGCCCGAATTGGCTTATTGAAATATATAGAGAAAGGTATATATAGTATAGATATATTGGTTAGTGGCAGAAATTTCCATTTATATATATCTTATACAACAAATCCCCGTGTAAAAATGTATCGTACATAGCTCGAAACTTTGCTAGGTCCCAGGACGATGTCATTAGCAAAGATATAAAGATTTCATTAGGCATGTTGTAGAACTAACTAACTTTTACCTTTACATATATTGAGCTATAAGTATCTGAAGAGAGCCTTAAATTATAAAACTATTTAGAGATTTTATTGGGTAGGTTAATCGAAATAGATAAGACTATAACCAATAGGTAAAAATGACGAGTTTTTACAGGCTTAAGGAAAACGAAACTCAGTTAGAAACATAAAACTTATATAGGAATTGGAACTTTGATCTTCGGTACTTTGATTTAAAGTCATAGCACATAGGCCTGATATCTGATCGAAACATAGATGGCAAGCAAAACCCAATGAGTTTTTCCACATATAAACTTAAATCGTTATCAGATTTAGTCAATTCACCTGCACATTAAATTTGCTTTCAATCATTTTGATATATGGCGTCTCGTGGTCCGGTTGCGGCTTACCCGGTCCCATTACAGGCATCTCGAACGAGATGAGCAATGGGGTCGATAGTCGCACTAAGGCTCTGGCACGTTCCACACCCTCCAAGCTGCCGCACAGCGACACCTGATTCGATTTCTCCGTTGGATTTGAACGGTTCGAGTCCGGGAAGTGTATGTGTGTGTGTGTGTCATCCATAATGCGTTTTATATTGTTGCCGCCGCGTCCAATGATATATGAATGATCTGTATAACTAACATCCATTTTCATAATAACACGTGTGCCCTAAGAAGCAGAGAAATTGCAATGAATCTCCACAGAAATTGCAGTTTTTTGGACAAAACTTTCACTTACCCTGGAGTCAAGACTGCCAAGAATATGATCTTTGGCGCGTTGCACCTGCTCCACTTTACCTACAATACGCACATGGGGATCTGCAGATAGAAGTTATGTAGAGAAAGAGAATTACATATATATATATATATAGAATAAGAGGCCGATTTCTAGGCTCACCTTTCTTGCTCTTGGCGCCAATCTTTAGTCTGCAAGGCCAGCTTACATATGTATCAGTGGTGCTCATGATCTGAAAGATAATAAGTATATATGCATATATAGTTTACGTATATATGCGTCTTTAGATAATACACTTGAATTTTGTTTTAGTAATCGGAATAAGCTAAACATTTATGGTTTCTTCACTAAAATTTGTAATTTGTCGGCTAAATGTTTAAACGTAAATTTTGTTGTAACGTTTAAACAATTTGTATTTAAGTGATATACGTCTGTTAAATACAAAAATTACAATACCTACTGAGACTACGGACCAATTCAGATTCGAAAAAGACAAAATCAATGAATGAAAACTCTAAGAATATGTATTCAGGTCCAAAGTTCGCTGCGATACAGCCAGACAGCTGAACAGACAAACAGAAAGACGAGTCGAGCTTAACTTGGCTCATCAGATTGATTCAGATTATATCTTTGCATAAAAAATATTAAAATAATATTTAAGCAAAATATTTAAATAAATTAATATTTTGCTTTATTTTTCCATATATGTATAAATATTCTTTTATATTGCTTTAATATTTGTTTTTGATATATTTTGAATTAATAAACATGTTTTCTAAATATTTATTAGTATAATACTAAATTCTCTTTTGATAAATATATATCGTATTTTATATATACATATCGTATTTTATATATTTTTAAAGTTCTCAACTTACATTATCAAAGAAATATTCTGCACCATTCATGCCCTCAATGGCGCTGTCCGCTGTGGAATAATATTGAGATTAGCAAAAATAAATAAATAAATATATAAATATATAAATATATTTAAATGAGATGTGTGTATAAATAGTTGAAGAAAACTATAATAGCGCCAGTAAACAACTTTTTCTTATTGTTAAAAAAACTCACTCACAATTTTTAGTTTTGCTCAAAATTAAGCAACTAAGTAATTTACTAAATTTTATAAAAAATGTAAAAAATTAATGTCTTTAACAGAATTATTAAGCGACAAATCTAAATTGAGCGTGTTTAAGAAAATTATTGATGGAGCTGATGCTATTTTAAATTTCGCAACTGCATAGATATATATCTATAATATAGTTAAATAAATATTTTTGCTGCTCTAGCTCACCCTTTAGCAACTGTTCCAGCTTCTGTCGATCAACTTTGAAGCGCTCCGTATGCAGATCGTCGACATTTTGTACGCCCAACTTGAGTGCAATCGCTCGAATGTCACTCCAATCGCTGTCCACCGATGAGATCTCACTTTGGGTCTCGCTCGGCGCCCGCGGCACTGGCAATGAGTTGAGATTAACCCCAACTGGAGTCGTTTTGCCACTGGCCATGGCGGTGACATCCGCTGCCGTTGGGTAAATCAATTTATTGAATGACGCACAGGAGAGCATCTCGTTGATTATCTGTTATCTGTTATCTGTTTCGGTTATCGGCTATCGCCTATCGATTAACGACTGTTGTTGTTTTGTTATCAACTTGTTCAATTTGTTTATCGAATGGTCGTTTAGTTTTTCAAACCAAGCAAAAGGTCGTGTAATGGCTGTCCGTCTGTAGGGGTTTCGTATACGTGTGTAGGAGTGTGTAGAAATGTATTTTCCTGTGTGTAGGTGTGCTTGACTTTGAGTGAGCTAGTGTGTGTATGTTCGTGTACGTGTGTGTGTGTGGGTCTGTTGCCTTTGAGCAACACTGCGAATGATGAGGTGAGCTGTGTAGGAAAGATGAAAGCTAAATGTGAGCATGAAGCACAATAAATGAAATTAAGCAAAAAAACGTAAATAAAAAAAATCACAAAAATATTAAAATGTATACAGGAGTATTTAAAGTTAATAAACTAATAAATAATTGTTTAATATTGCAAAAAAGGAAAATAATTGATTGTTTATGTTTAATAGCTCAAGCTAAACTAAAAGAATGTTTTTTAAAATGTTTTAATTTTATTTATATATATTATCAAAAATATTTCAATATATTAGAGCTTATAAATTTTTTTAATAATATGGTTATTTCTATGGTTTTTATTAAAAACTACTTTTACAAGTAAGCAATTGTTAAATTATCCAACTTTTTTTAAATATATTCCAAGAACTTTTTGTAACTTTGATTTTCATATAAGAAATGTTTTTTTTTATATTTTTTTTTTACAATATAATTATATATTGCTTATGGATAAAGATAAAAATTATATAGTCATATATATTATATTTTATATATTTAAATAAAATAATTTAATTTAAATTATTATTTATTAGTATTTCATTACAATACATATATTTAAATGCAATTTTTGCATGATTTTCTAAAAATTTACAATGCATAAGATCAAAAATATGAGTGTTGTAATACTCATTTAATTTTTTGTTTCATATTTGTAAACACCATTAAAAAACTCAGTAAGTTCTAATATATATATATATGTTTGTTTATATATATATATATTTATATTAATATATATTTATTATTTAAATAATCTGTTGCACTTGTTTTCTTTTGTTTCGCTTTGTAGTTTTTTTAGAGCATATTTTGTAAAAGATTTTTTTGGATGTATATATATATATATATATATATATATATATATATATATATATATATATATATATATATATATATATATATATATATATATATATATATATGGATATTAATTATTTTTTGAATATTCAATATTTTTGATATTTTTCTAACTTTTCATAACATTTCTAGAGCACAGCCATAACCTCTCACTAGGAGTCAAGACAGCCATGAGGTTTTTTGCTTATGTCTCGATCCATTTGCAGAAACGGAAACGCAAAGCGCACACCGCACAATTAGGGATACACATAAATTTACAGTTATACTTTCACTTGTCTGTGACACTTTCACACACTAACACCAACACACACTCGCACACATACACTGTTCCACTCACACACTTACCGAACCAGTTCGCCAGCTCTATTTGAGATTGAAGAGGCCTTGAAAGTCCAAACAAATAGCATTGGTTAGATCCTGGACGAATTGTATGGCCTCGACGAGACAAACGTTCATAACAAAATTACGAATTTGTACGAATCTTTCGACGAAAGGCATTTATATTGGCTTGAATTTGGTGTTCTGTCTATATGTATCAGTATATAGAGTATTGAAGTCTTTAATAATTATTATAAATTTATTTAGTTTATACATATATATAAATATATATATTACAATTATGAAATAATAGGATATTTCTGTATTTTTTTTGTTTAATTTTTTTGTAAATTGCAAGCAATTTATTTTTTATAATTCTTCTTTCTAACTAGGAACTTTTTGCTGCTACCGCTTGAACGACTCAAAGCCAATTGAACGTGCTATTGTCTCTGGAGCTGCTGACAGGGATCGAGCGCAACGACAAAAAGTTGCTAAACAACGGTAAATTTCGCTTAGCCAATGGGCAAAGTGTGGCTCGTCGCCTGGAGAAATGCATTTAAGAGACCCATCTGGGTCAACGAACCGCTCGCAGAGAGTGTAGGAGAAAAGTAATTTAGATTCTTACAAGCAAAACAAACGCACAGAGAGTAGAACCGTTTACGTGAGCGCCTGGAAGCGGACGTCTACACTCACGTCTCTTGGGACATTCCGCAGAGAGAAATTTCCCTTTTTGCTTAAGTTCAGCAAAGATTTAAGTGCCCACGGGATTCCTTAATGCTTAATCTTTATAATCATATTGCTCATATATATTTCTAAATAGATATTATTTTTATTTTTATTATAGTTAAATTACTACTAGTAAAAAACGATTTTTTGACTTACTACAAATTGAGAAGCTTAAATTTTGAATTTGAAAATGTTACTAAGCTTCAACAGCCCGCTGGTAAGCTGCTAACAGTCTGTTATCATAAAGCAAGAATTTTGGGTAAAAGCAAATTTGAAGAAAAAAAATATCTACAGTTTTACGCACACATTTTTTCCCGCCAAAACAAAAAGTATGAAAAAATAAACTTACCGTAAATTCAAATACTTTTTTTAATTGAAACAAGTTACACAAATGAAGTGAATAATTTAGTTAACAAAATAAATACTTATAAAATCATAAATAGGCACAAAATGCTAATTTAGCCAAAGATAAGACGCTTTATTTATAAAAAAAGAGTGAAATTTTGGGCGCAATTACGTCAATTGGTCAAATTTGCAATGAATTAAATTGTTAGCAGTCGTTTTATTTTTTATATGAGCAAAAAAAATAATCACTACCGAAGACAGGGTACAAAAAAAGAGACACGTGCGTGAAAAAAAATACAAAAAGTTGCGAAATTATTGCAAGGAAAAAAAATAATTAGAGTCAAGGTCAAGTGGAATAAAGCGCGGATTTTATTTGTAATTTCGTTATGTTTTAAACACTTAATTTAAATGAGTTTGTTTTATTCGAAATACAACGCGTCGTAGTAATTGGAAGGAGACTCGGACGGTGCTTTCGTCGTCATTGAAGCGCGTTGACTGCAGAACGTGAGGCGGAGTTCTTGTCCCGTCTGACCTTCAGGCGGAGCTTTGGCCAACTGAAGCAGGGCGTGCAGTGCTAAAAAGAAAAGCTTGCTGATCACAACACGTGCATAGGACAGTGCTGCAGCTGAAGCAACGGCGCTTAACTAAAAGCTTTGCTTGCTTAAAAGCTGTTTTAGACAATTGCCTGAAAGCTATACATGCCAAATGGTGTTCAAACAAGCCGCTAGATGGCGCTGGAGCTAACAGTGCGCTAGATAAATATATGTATTTATGGAATACAAGTAAGAGTAAAAGTCTTTGATATATTTCATTATTTATAATTTATTATTGTTTATTTATGTTTATATATATATTTAGCCATAGATACTAATGCTTGCCAGTTGTTCAATTTACTTTTTACATGTATGCTTTATAAATAAATATGTATTTTATATATTTTTTTTACTTTTTACAATATTATATTTTTTTCTTTTGACATTTGTTTTATTTTTATGGATATGAATATGTTTTGGTATATTCAATGTAAGCTTTTGCGTTAAATTTTTTAAATATTCATATTATATATGCATATATAAATCTAATTCTAGTTAAACAACATTTATGCTTTATTTTATTTTTTAATTTTAATATTTTATTTTATTTTATTTGTTTAAAAAGAATAAATAATTGTTGTTTATCTGTCTCTCTATGCTTTTCTATATACACTAACAATTTATGAATAACTTTTATGTAAAGTTTTTTAATATTTCATTGATTTTAAATACTTTTTTGTATTTTTAAAGCTTAGCAGAGAACTAAAATTTATGAACTTATAAAAGAATTTATATAGAAATACTGAGTAAAAACAAACGAAAAATCAGGGAAGACAACTTTCACAACACTTTTTTGATTAGATAAACCTTAGCATGCATTTATAGCTGTTGTATATATATATATATATATATATATATATATATATATTTATATATATATATATATATATCCATATATGTTATTCTATATATATCATATATAATATTTAACATTTACACATAAAAACTTACTAGCCATAAATTCACAATTTTTTTTTTGTTTTTTGACAACTTCTTAGTATAATTAACTATATACAGTTATTCAAAGTTTTGATTATTGTATTTTTATTTATTTTTTTCATTTTTCTTTTTTTGTATTTATTAAATTTTTCCAATTGTTTTTATTCCATTTACATATTGCGTTCTCCGTCCATTTTTTTTTTATAAGGCAAAGGAACTATTTACCGTTGGATTTTTGTTTGCCAAAAATTTTAAAATAATTTGTTGTTAATTTTTAAATTTGCTGAAAAACAAAATTAATTTTTTTCATTTAAGAATTTTTTAACTGTTATTTAATTTTAATTTTTGCGTCTACAAATGAAAAAGTTTTTCGTAATTAATTTTGCATGCTTCCAAAACCGTAAAAAGTTCCTTTCTATATAATGTTGTTATTATACTCTTGCTTACAAATCTTGTTTTCTTATCTTATTTTCTTATTCTACTGATAAGAAGCAAAAGGTTATTTACAAAATTAATGGAGAGCGGGAGAGTGAGTGAGAGAGATGATCTTTTTTACGGCTTACGCTTCTTACTGCTCTTTAAATTGCACTACGATATATAAAAGCTAAGCTCAAGTGCAAATTCAAAGCTCAGCTAAAGCTTTGCGCAGTTCTCCTTCGCTTGTTTGCTTCTTACAACAAGAGATCCGAATATATGAATGAAAATTTGTTGACACGGAAATTATGCGTATAACGATTGCATCTCTTAACAAATGTCTTGTATTTAAAATGAAATGTATAAACGAAAACAAAAATCCCAAAACATGCCTAGTATTAAGAATAAAGCCTGCAGGGGACGCGGAATCTCGGTAAGGAAGAGCGGAACCAAATAGGAAAGAAAAGGGTAAGATGTAAAAAAGGACCTGGTGAGTGCTGTTTTAATGATTTTGTTATAGTTTCTATTAGTTTGAGTTTTGATCTGCAGCCAGGTTAGCGTTGCCTATGTATGTGCCGGCAGTGCGCAGCTCCGCCGATGCGGCAATGAAAGATAATAATCACGAAAGTGGACGGCGAAAAGCAAGTCGTATACCCGTGTGTTTTTGTTTTGTTTCTTTTTTGTGTGTCTCTCGACTTCGCGTCCTATCAATGAAAGATTAAACAAGGAGCGGCCTCCGAAATCTGTTTACCGCATGTGATTAAGTTTTTGTGCAGAGGCAGCGCAGCCAACAAGTGACGCTACGTCGTTTTATGCGTGAAACGAAAACGGGCGCAGGCGCAAGCAGCGCAGTCGGTGCTGTTAATTTCCTTGTATTAGGGAAATAAATGTCGAACACCTAGTTTGTAAGTGACTGATTGAAGATCCCAAACTGTTTTACTCGTGCTTCAAAAATAAAAATTACAATAAATTATTTCTATAGCTGCGCGGAAAGTGTTTTTCCTAACAAACTTAATTAATTTCTAATGCATTTTATACATATACATATATTTAAATATATTTTGTAATACTTATAATAGTTAACGCTATTCTATGAGCTTCACCTGTTATATGTTTGCGTACATATGTTGTATGTATATTTCGATTATTTATTTACTTTTTGTTTGTTTTTTTATTATTTTCATATTTACTCTCATTACATTTATTTAATTATGTATATCATATATTAACATATTACCAGTTGCGCTCTTAATTATATTTAGGCTTCTCTTAGCTTTTCATTGTTTTACCTCCGCCTTATTTTTGGCTTTAAGTCCCAAACTGGCTTCTCCACATCTGAAGTGCGTTTTAACCGGGGCGAACTGTAACTTTCAATTTTATTTTTGTTTTGTTGTTTTCTGCTTGTGGCATTAATTATTGCGCGTAAAACAAATAAGAGAAGGAAACAAATATGGTTAAGAGAAATATGCCCATTCGTTCGCATGGCAGCACCTTAAGCTACTTTTCGAAATGCATTTCATCATCAATTCAGCATCAGCACGTCGCTGCCGCTGCCGCTGCCAGCGTTGGGCAAGTCATCAATAATCGTTGATCCGGCTGCGAGGCCGCGCCCACTTTAGCAAGTGTCGCTGACAGCTGTTGATGTTGGCGCTTTAGTGTTGCTCGGTCTGCAGCTGCAGTTAAATCAACGCCAGCATTGGCATCATCATCATCATCACCATCATCATTAGCTCTATCGTCATCGTCATCGTCATCATCACCAACATCATCATTATTCCGTTGCAAAAGTGTTGCCAATGCCATTTGACAATTATAAAAGCATTTGTCGCTCTCACTCGGCGCTGTCTTTGACATTGTCACATTGGCAGCAAGCGCGACGTCAGCGTCGCCGTCGCCGTCGCCGGCGTCGTTCCTAACCGTCTGTTGCGTCGCTGCGCTGTCGATGGCATATTGACAGTTGTTAATTTGATGGCCCGTCCACAGGCAGAGGGGCAGCATGAGTGCAACGCTTAGCCATGTGGTGTAAGCATCAAAGTGCCACGCCCACTTTGCCAGATGCCTGTTGATGTGTCTGTGAAGCTTTGCCATGTGCTGCAATGGCAACGCCTCCATAAGCTTCAATAGCCAAACGCGCCAGAAGATTTCGTGAGCAACACTCGAAGCGCCCGATGCACCGTTATCCGCTGCAAAATAGACAGAAAACGAAAGAGAGAGTGAATGAGTGAGAGCGGATTATAAAGAGCGCACTGGTCCGCGGGGCGCGTGCATTAGCAAAGGGACTTTATAAGCACGCACTAAAAGGGAGCTTGATGTATAACTGTAACTTAAATTCGCATTGAACACGGGTTGATGCGGCTTTAAGATTACTTCTTGTGAGTTTATAAGCTAACTTTTGTTATAGCTAATATTGAGTAAAAGTGCAAATTTCATTTATTTTTTCTAAAACAAAAATACTAAGGGATTTGTATATAAATGTTCTCTTAAATGATATGTTATGGAATATTTACTCTTTCAGAGCTTCAGCACATTTTATATTACACATGAAAGAGAAAACATTCTTTTAATAAAATCGCTAACTCTTTGCACTTAACAAAACCGTTTGTTAAGGTTAATTTACTCTTTGATGTTTAACATAAGCACAGCTTAAGCTTAATGCTTCTGATCTTTCGAATAGACTCAGATACGTTCAGTTATATTTTATTTGCAACTCTCTTGCACTCCATTGAGTTGCTGCCAGCTGAAAAATATCCGATAAATCTATCCGAAAAAAGCACACACTTCTTAGTCAATATACTCACTAGGATGTGTATGTGTGTGTGAGTGGGATGCATGTCAACATTGCATTTGCATAAAGTTCACAAAAATCGAATTCGTTTGAATCGCAACTATGAGCAGAGTAAGCTGCAAACCCCACTGAAAATCGAGTTCATTTCGCATGGGTAACGCGCTCTGGCGCTTGTTCAAGCTAAGAATGTTGCATACTTTTATGCGCTCGTTGAATATATAGTCTCTACTATATACATATATATTTTCCGTACTTCTTTTTGAAGTCGATGCAATTTTAAATACAATTTGCAGCTCAATGCGTTTACAATGTTGTTGTTGTTGTTGCTGACGACATTGCTGCTGCTGCTGCTGTTGCATTTTGGTGTTAAGTAAATGTTGCCGCAAGTAAGTGGCAACTCTAGCAAATAGCGAACGAGGCAGAGTGAGGGGGGGCTAGGAAGGGCGTTTTATAAGCATAAGCTACACAGCAATCAACTTGCTTTTCCACAGCGTAAATTAGAGAGACAAGTATGCACAGTAGAGTGTAGTTTAGCGAAGAGTGATTGACTAGTAGATACCTCGCAACTGTACATATGAGTATAAATAAAATACTCATAAAATACTCTACTTTCTTTAATTCTTCCGTGAATGCAAACAATCAATTGAGTATTTATATATAATAATATACATAAAAATATATATATGATATATATAAAAACAGGATGCAAAATATATTCATCTTCGTCCCATCTAAACGACATGAGATGACAGCAAAGACGCACATTCATTTCAAGTTCTTAGATATCCGGATTTATCTGTCATCAACTCTGGCATCAACTGCCAACAAGTACAGGGTATACAAATAACCTTCCCAATGGCAACGACATGTAATATTGCCTGTGGGCCACACCATAAACAGAAACTAGAGAAAATCAGCTGGCATTCTGGAAAGGATATGCCGCGACAATCTTTCACTGTCTGAAACGAAGTTTATGCCAATTTGATTTGACCCGGCATTTGATTCGATAAGCGTGTCGGTTATCCTGCTGCCACTTGGCAGCAGCTGTTGTTGCTGCCGCTGCTGCTGCTACTGCTTTCGCCTGAATGTTTATGCTGGCAAATGTTATTTGCATAATTTACGTTGTATGTGCGAGCAGGCAGGCGAGGAGTGCAGCATTGCACAGGACACCAAGTGCCTTGACTGGGCAACTATTGAAAGTTGACATAGCAGATGCTCAAAAATGGAGTCACTCCGCCCACCCACACCCCCAACCCCTTCAGTGCTCAGCTGCAGTTTGTGTGCAGCACGGATCAGGCTGGCAAACACTTGTTAAAAGGTTTTTCAGTTCAGTTTTAAACTCTACTTGTGGCGGCATTAGAGCTCTGTGCGCTAAGCAAATTCCATCTAAGAAACTATTGATTTGTTTTATTGTTTGAGAGTCTTAAAAGAGTTTCACAAGCTACGAATCTGGGTTATTTTTAAATCATTCAAAAATTGTAAGTAAAATGGAGGATTTTGATGGAAAAAGTCTATGCCAATGGTATTTTAAGAATTACAATAGAGAAATAAAAAATATTTAATAATAAATATTTAATAATATATATATAATAATAATATATATAAAATATATTTCCTATCATATGTTAAGATGATATATTCATCATGTTCTAAAACCTTAACCCTATAGTTATATAGACGACATACTCGAAGAATAGGTCAAATATGATTCATTGTGCTCCTCGTAGCCGCCACGCTCCCGATCGCCATGCCTGTTGCCATGATCCTCCATGGGATAATTGTTGATATCATATGAACGGCCGGAGGCCATGATTCTGGGTCGATCCTCCTCGATAATGCTTTCGATCTCCTCTTTGAATATGTCAAATATGTAGGCCGTGCACTTGAGCTGTTCAATTTGGTATTTGAAGAAGATAAATATAGTATAAATATTGATTCTTAAATCATGATTTCAAATCAATTTCACAAATGTGTTGCAAATGCAGCAAGTTCTTTGGCACGTGCAACCGCTTGACTTACCCTCATTTGACCCTTGAGAAAATGCTGTGTGGTTACCATGAAGTGTATGGCACTTGTCACCGATTCCAGTGTGCTATTCTCTTGTTTCTCAATCTGATAGGTCTTGATGTGATGCGGTGGCACCTGCGAATGGAAGCAGACGTGAATTGGGATGTGTGTCAAGTGGATGGAATGAAAGGAATGCGCGCTTCGATACATCAGTTCAAAGGGTTGACAACGCTTGCAAATCAATTTATAAATATTTATCAAAAACAGATAGAGCGGGAGAGAGGTCAACAAAGAGAGAGAGGAGACGTGAGGGGGCTGCATCTTACAGATATGCGACATCAAGCACTCAACCACTATGCTGTAGCACCACATACAATGCACAATGCACAAGTGGAAACTGTGCCGTGTCCTGTTCTCTCAGCCGTGGTCCTCTGCGGAGGCCTCTGCCACTTCTTACGCCCAAAAAACATGCCACAGCAGGCAAATTTATAACTTATGAATGATGAATAGATTCACGCTTGAGTGATTAAGTGGAGCAAAGCGATGGAGTGGGGCGGCAGGCAGTCGAGCCAGGACGAGGCCACTTTGTTTGCGGTGAGTTTAGTTTGAAGTGCCTGCAGATAACGTTGCCAGCCTGACAGGCGGACCCAGCCACGCCGGCCCCCGCGCACACATGTGCCCCCGGTTCCTAGCTCGTAGTGGAAGGTCCTGTTGAAAAGCGCTCGTTAGCTAAAAGATCAAGTGGCGAACCAGCGCACACACCAACACACACCAACACACACCAACACACACACACGCACCAGACCACACTTGAGTGTTGTTTGTGTTAGTTTTTGCTGAATTGCTTGTTTGATAATGATAAAAAAAATATTATACATATACATATATATAATATATATATATATATATGCATAAAACGTTCTATAACTGCAACTTTCTCAGTTGTTTCTCTTGGTCCTTTCACTTAATGCCAGCAAGGTCCTTTTTCCATTTTTTTCCAGCTTCCCAAGTGCCTACCTCCACAAATACAAATATAACAAAAAACTTTTATTTTAGTTTGCATTTATAAAAAAAAAAAACGTTTTTTTTTTTAATTTTTTCCATTTCAATTGATTGCATTTTTATTTCACATATTTCGCCAAAGCTTTTTATTACTTAATTGAAAGGCAGCTCGTTTGGGCTGCAATTGATTTCATTAAATAACTGGATTACATTTTGGGAATTAGTGTTTTTTTTTTAAATTTTTTATTTAAGCTAAAAGTGGTTTTTAGCTGAAAATTTGAGTAAAAAGTTGCAAATAAAGTGAGTTTACTTTTTTCAATTTAAAATATAAAAAAAACTTCAAAAAATCAAAGATTGTAAAGCTTAAGTTGCTAAGTTTATGCTCATTTCTGAACATAAATTCAGTCTTTTTATAAACATTTTTATTATTTAGGAAATACCCATTCAACACACACACACGCACGCACGCATAAGCACGCGCTCTGCTGACTGCGCAGCTGACGCAGCGACTGCGCTTGGGCTGCAAATGGCCGGCTTCACTATGTGAACTTAATTGTTGAAAAACTTTTCTATAAGATGGGCTTCCTTACTGACATTTTCAGGGCTTAATTATGGTATGCAGATGCTTGTTTTTGCCAAAGCACAAGTGTCTATTATTTAAATTTTACGTCACTTGTGACGGAAGGATCTGTCCACTTAGCTCGTCATCAGTATCAAGAATATATATACTTTATGGAGTCTGCCACGCCTTCTTCTGCCTGTTTTTCACAACTTCCATTTCTATTGGGTTTAGTCTATCAAATAAATTTTCTTTAAGGTTTAGCCTCAGCAAAGTTGTCAAGAAATATATAAAAATATATTTGTGGCGCAATCTCTGCACTAGACATATTCGCTCTTATTATTTGCATCAGCAACTCACAGTAAAACTGTTTCTCTTCTTTCTGGCCTTGATTCAGAGCACAATCCTTAACTAAATCTAACAACTTGTAGAAGCATAAAAGAGCTCAACCCAAATGAAATATGACTTAGGTCGAACGCAATCCAACTGACGGTGACAATGCGCTCAAACAATCCGAATAAATATTTTTCTTCGTTTATGCTTAAGAAAATGATTATAAATAAAAATACAAACATCTTTGGTCTTTAGTAATGCTCTATGTATTTCCTAAAATTATCATTTTGATTATATATATTTAAAAAAAAGCAAATTTTATATATAAAATGCAATAAAATATGCAAATGACCAACGATCTCTATAACTACTTTTCAGATTAAATTCCCAATTAATCAACGATCTCTATAACAGATTCGTATATTATTTTCCCCTATTAAAAATATTCACTTATATTAAAAATATTCACTTCGCAGAGTATTTAAATATCGGTAAACTCTTTTAACACTGCGTTCGCACACACAAATAATTTACGGCAACAATAACAAAGAACGTAGACGTCAAGCCGTCCTATGTTGAATGTCTTAGCGGGCAGTGGGCGCGGCAGGGAAAAAAAAGAAGAATCAGCTGACAACCGAAACGTTTCTTAAAACAAACGCAGCAAAATGGCAGAGCAAACCCAAAAAATGTCGGGCCATGTCACATGCCTCGGCTTTGTAAGCTCCAAAACTCGAAAACTCTGTGAAATCATGCGGAACTATGACAGCAGCCAGGCGAACCCCTGACCCCCCTTGCCTACTCCAGCCCGTTCACCTGCCGGAATATGTGGAAACTACCTGCTGTGGTTGCGGCCATAAAACAGCCAGCCGAAGTAAAAGGCATAAAAAGTGACTGCCTATCAAAAATGATATGGTATATATGTATATGGCAGAAGTCTAGGCGGAAAACCAAAGCGAACAAAAAAAGCTAAAGCACGCAGGTGCCAAAAAGTGTGTGTACGTGTGTGTATGTGTGTGTGTGAGAAATGAAAAATCACACACTAAACGCTAAAAGATTGCCAAACGATGCAACTGAACAGAGGGCAAAGAGGGGGAGGCTAGAGAGCAAACGGAGTGCCGGAGCGAGCGAATTTTAGGTAGAGTAGAGAATTGAGAGAGAATTAAGGGCAGACCACAGCTGGTCTGAAGAAGGAGAAAGCTAAACATGCTTAGTCTAAATAAAAATAAAGTGAATTTCTATTTAAATAATAAATAAATATAATAATAAAATAAAAAAAAAAAAATTTAAAATGATAAAACCTAATATTTGAAACATATATTCATTCATAAAATTTAATTTAAATGTAATTTAAAAATTAATTAATTTAAAATTTAAAATTTAATTTGAATTTTAATTTTAATTAAATTTATAAACTAATTAATTATAAAATTAAAAAAAACTTTAAACTTATTTGTAATAAAAATTATTAGAAGAAAAATGAAAAATTATAAAACTGAATATTTGAAATAAAAAATTAAATTTAATAATAATAAATTTAAATTTATTCTAAAAATTAATTCGTTTCAAATTTAATAAAATATATGAAAAAAATAAGTCTTAGAAAATATTTAAGACACAAATAACCAATTTTATGGTTAAATAAATATTTTAGTTGATATGAACTGTGTAGCTTGGTTTAGTTAAATGCCATTAGATACGGCTATCAAGCGATATATTTAGTATATAATATCAGAGCTAGTTGCAACGAGTCTTGACATCGTTTCGGTTTACACTCTCCATGAAGTGCTTATGAAATATATAAATAAAATAGAAATGTCTAATAACAGCAAGAGCTTTAATGAAGCTCGCTTGCTTTGGGCCCTCATTGTGGGCATAGTCGTGGGATATATTGTGACCGAGCTCATCTACCATAGAGCCGCAAATCGGCAGACAGAGCTTAGCATATGGCCCATGGAGCAGCCTTCGCTGGCCGAACAACTGACGAAAGAGGTGCGTGTGCTGTGCTGGATAATGACCAATCCGAAGAATCACAAAACTAGGGCACTGCACATCAAACACACCTGGGGCAAGCGCTGTAATATTCTGCTTTTCATGAGCTCCCAACTGGATGCAGAGCTGCCCACGATCAATTTGAATGTGCTCGAAGGACGAGAAAATCTCTGGCAGAAGACGAAGAAGGCGTTCAAGTATGTGTATAACAATCACTACAACGATTCGGATTGGTTCTTTAAGGCCGACGATGACACCTTTGCGGTGATCGAAAACATGCGCTTTATGCTATATCGATATGATCGAGAGACGCCCGTTTACTTTGGCTGCAAGTTTAATCCCTATGTCAGGCAGGGCTTCATGTCTGGTGGAGCTGGCTATATCCTTAGCCGCGAGGCATTGCGACGACTTGTTGTCGAAGGCCTGTCAATTTCTGAGCAATGCAATTCGAGTCCGTTTGGCGTGGAGGACATTGAGCTGGGAAAATGCATGCAGAATCTGAATGTAACCGCTGGCGATTCGCGCGATGCGTATGGGCAGGGTCGCATGTATCCATTTTATCCCGGCCATCACTTACATCCCACTCGAAACAGCTCGTTTTGGTACTGGAAATATATATACTATAATACCACAGACGTAAGTGCGTTGGTCTCTGCTGAAACAGCTAATCGAAGCGCCATTTAGTGTTCCAGCTGTGTCGCCAGTACGGCCATATCCTTTCACTATGTCAAGCCCCACGAAATGTATGCATTTTACTACTTTATTTATACTCTAAGACCCTATGGGCTTATTGATAATGTACAATTAAAGCTGCCTAACAAATTGGCGCCAGGGGAATATATACCTGAGCATATTGAAACAGAAGACGAGTGATCTAACGATAAATCAGGGATCTTAATAAGGTATGGCAAACAGTATGTCTAAGGAAACATTTACAAGTTTTGAATGCTCTTCTTACAGCAATATCAAATCGAAATAACAATTGGGCAGATGAAATCAATTAAATCTTTGCAGTGTAATTAAAAATAACATCCTCTTAACTCTTCATTTAAATTTAAATTTAAATTTAATTTAATCATTGATGTAATATGAATGATTGCAATTGAGAGTAGACATGTTAAATTATATATAAATAATATATATATATATGTATATAAATATAAATATATATAAACATATATATAATAAAAAAATCTCAGTGAGCACTTACATAACTTTCAAATTCATTTGTTTTCACCTTCAAAGAGGCATATATGCATATAATTTTGGTAAACCTATAAATCTACAGTAACTTAGTTTAACGTCCTGTTTTCAGCTCCGCACTATGTATATGGATGGATATATACTATAAAAAATTTATACTATAAAAAATTTCTAGATTGCCTATTAACGTTTAAGCCATATCAGACTTAGTATTTCTTTACTTCCCACGCCTTAGTGCGCAAATAGATGAAATTGTACTAAGTTTCTAGACTCTATTTTCAATAACAACGAAATGGTGTTCGTCTTTTCTCATATTTAATATTTTCTCATTTTAATATTTTCTCATATTAAAAGCAGTTGAAGCTCTCTAAAATTATTTGAATTGATAAACCCAAATACCATTTAATTATACAGATTTAAATATATTTAAAGGTATTTAGCAATGGCCGTATGTTCGAACAATTATTTCGAATAGCTTCGTGGAGCAGCTTACAAATCGCTTCACTTGCAATAATAACGTCAGACTGAAATGCTCGATAAACAGCTCTTAAATTTGCTCCTTTTATGGCCAACAATTGGGCAATTGAAGTGTAAACTAAGTGCTGAAAAGGAAACTTTTAGCCGAATTGGCTGTACTGGCGACTAATTGAAAAATTGCGGGGCTATCAATTGGAAATTGCCTCGAAGCGCACACACACTCCACGCCGCGCCACTTGCAGTCACTAATTGAATGGCGGATCGCAATGGAGATGGAGATGGAAATGGAAATGGAAACCGAAACCAAAACTTACCACAATACCATTAATAGTCCATGTCAAATTAGCAGCCGGTTTCGAGTATTTAATTGAGCAATTGCCGTCGACCAAATCGCCAATGCGATAACGTGCCTGTATGCCGGTAACCACTGTATGCTCTTCCGGTAACTCTGCCGCACAGACAGCCAGAGCGAGACAGATAGAGAGAGGGGAAGAGGTGAAGAGAGATGGAATTAGCTGTAGGCTGCATAATGGAAATGTAAAATTAGCTGACCAGCACTCGAAAAAAAATGGCAAAGGCTGGCGCCCATTTGTCTAATTAATTTGCTTTCGTTGCAGTAAGGCAAGGCTGGGGCAAGGCTGGGGCAAGGCTGGGGCAAGGCAGCCTTTGCCATTTGCGCTAGGTGCTGATAGTATTTTTATTGCAATTTTTTCTATTTTTGTTGTTGGTATTTTTTGGTATTTTTTTCATTTTACTTACCCACTACCTCCATTTCGCCGGAGACCATTGCTGTTTGAAATGTGGGCGCCTCCACAGATATTTCGCATGTAAATTTGCCCGAAATATTCAGCGGCACCGACTGCAGCACGACATGACTTTGATTCGAGAGGTTTCGCTAAAGGAGACAGAGAGAGAGAGAGGGAGAGAGAGAGGGTGTGTGAGTGAGTGAGAGATGAGTGCAATAAAAATTAGTTGAAAAATTGACAGGATGCGCTGCATAGAAATTGAATATAACGCAATGCCAAAGAGAAGAAAAAATAATGTCGGAGCATCGCAGCAGATGTTGTTGATGAAAGATACTGGGGCAAAAACTGAGCCATGCAGCCATGCAGCCATGCAGCCATGGCGCTATACAGTTATGGTTGGAGCTTGCATTTTAAGTCGATCTGCCCCCCGTTTTGATTGCTTTGAGTCAAAGCAATTTCGCCTTTTGGCTCTGCTGTTGATTTGTGATATTAAAAAAGAAGTCTGTTATGAGCTGAATGGCATGAAGTGGCTGGCAGATCTTTTATTTATGAGCTGACCAGCGCAAACAATAACTGTGAAATGCCAAATTCAAGCAATATTGTAACTAATAAAACGATATTTGGCGCCAAATGCAGGTCAATTTGACTATAGAAATATAGAGAAAATTAGGAATTCTTTTACAGCAGCTGCCGTCTGTCAGTGTTGAAATTCATTGGGAGTTTCTCGTGAACTATTTGCATTCGTTATGCTGTTGAAAACCAATTATTAGCTGCTCATTTAATTGGGGCCAGCGATGTTTTTACTGTTTGTCGAGTGCATTCACTTGTGCCCACTCGTCGGCCACTTGAAATGTATGAAATTGTTTACGCGAAATTTAATCTTTGACACGGCGAGCTGTAAACTCGTGCAGAAATCCACTTAATAAAAAATTAAATTTTAATAAATTGCATTAAAAGATCGACTTTAATATGCAAAAATATGACACTTCGCTCCGGGAGTCGATTGGATTGAAGTGAACTGGATTCGTTTACGTTCAATATTTAACCCAATTTGTGTCCGGTCGCCAAACTAATTGGCCCTCCTACATTTCAACGTAATAATTAAAGTTGAAAACTTCGCTCCGTTCGACTTTTATGGAGTATTTTTTATGCAATCTACATATATTGTTTTTTAATGAGCCGCAAGTCAATCGCGTTGCCAACTAATTGGGCAATGGAACTCACTGGATATTCTGTCAGCTCTTATTGTTGCTGCTGCTGCTGCTACTGCTGCTGTTGTTGTTGTTGTGCATAATTACAACATTCAGAATTTCAGAGATTGCTGTGAAAACGCTTGAGAGAGTAGGGAGGTACGTAGAGGAGGCAACATGCTGGATACGAATGAGATTTTTCCTGGCTTAATGCAATCAGCCATTATGGGCATAATTTACAGTGCGTTTGTTATTTTATGACACGCAACTGCAGCATGTGCTCTTAATGGTGGCCAAACGCTCAGCCAGCCAACATATATGTAGATGTACATAAGATGTATTTACTATATGTATTTATATATATATATATGTATTTATGTATAAAACCCAATGTGCAGACTCTTTAGTCTCTATACTCACCTCAACGTTAAGGCCACTTGTCATGGCAAACACTTTCATTGCCGGATTCTCTTTGGGGGTGTAACGATAAAACTCACGTTTGCCTTTGTACCATTTCACCGAATATAGCGTATCGTTTTCCATATCGTAATTACAGGTGAACAAGGCATTGCTGCCACGTTTAACCGCCTGCGGTATCCTAACCGTAACATCCTTGAGCGCCACAATAAAATCTGCAAAGCATAACAAACACAACACCGTGATAGAGTTAGGGCGTTAAATGAGTATATAAGAATATAATTTTATGTGTTTCGCTAAATGAAATTAAGCACAGTCGACGAGCTGTGATGAGTCTCACGTTACACACTTGGACCAAGGGGGAGTGGCACATTTAGTATAATTTGTTAATACCCTATCAAGGCTTTAAGGGCAGGCGGACTGTGGGCTTGTTTGTATTATTATTACAATGGCTTAACGTGGTTAACTGACTTTGTGAGCCAGACTACGCTTAAGTGTGGTTTTTTATACAAATATTTATGTACCTAAGCATTTAAGGAAAATCTGCAAAGTATCGTTTATCCACATTTCATATTGAATGTCTCTGTGCTTGGAAGGAAATTATAATTAATGAAGCTGAGCGAGGCATAAATAGCTGCAATGGAAGGGAGAGAACGAGAGGAATGGCGAACGAAAGATAGTGAGAGAATGAGATAATGAGAGAGAGGGAGAAGAGGAGAGATAGTAAGAGACGGAGTGAGAGACAGAGAAAGAGAGAGAGAAAGAGAGAGAGAGACAGAGAAGAAGAGACGGACTGAGATAGTGAGGAAGTGAGAGAGAGAGAGAGAGAGAGAGAGAGAGAGAGAGAGACAGAGAGAGACAGAGAGAGAGACAGAGAGAGAGGGAGAGAGAGATAGAGAGAGAGATAGAGAGAGAGATAGAGAGAGAGATAGAGAGAGAGATAGAGAGAGAGATAGAGAGAGAGACAGAGAGAGAGATAGAGAGAAAGACAGAGAGAGACAGAGAGAGAGACAGAGAGAGACAGAGAGAGAGGGAGAGTGAGACAGCGAGAGAGAGAGAGATATAGAGAGAGATATAGAGAGAGAGTGAGTGAGAGAGTGAGAGAGTGCGATATAAAGAAAAAGAAAGCGAGAAAAAGAGAATGAGAAAGTGAGAGAGAGATTGAGATAGTTATTGATGGTTGCTTTCCCAGAAGAGCAGAATATATATGTATATAAAAATATCCGAAATTAAGATATAATGCGAAAGTATGAGAATTGCATAGACGAGCAACAAAGGCAAAGCAAACACTTCATATGCCAGTGTCAAGTCCTGCTGTCTAATTTAAAGTATTAACCCAAATAAACTTCATAATTGCAAGTGCAAATTGACATAGAAATGTGATATACCTGCTTCTACCTGTTAATGTGCCTTATGAACTCACCGTGCTATTTTTGATGACCAAGACATTATATTTGGCATAGAAAAGTCGGAACTTTAAATGTTTGCTATCTGGGAAATAAGCTAAAAACTGAGAAATGACCAACTGCGGCATCAAAGGGGGAGACTAAGGGACGACAGACAGACGTGGGGCGGACATACAACAATTCAGACACATAGATAGATAGAGGAGCAGAATGAAAAACGGAAAACCAAACTTACAATAGAATTTTACAAGCAGCATTCGAGTATGATAAAGCTGGGGTTGAGCTCCCACTCCAGCTACCTATTGCAGCTGCGCTGTTGCTGTTGCTGTTGCTGTTGCTGTTCCTGTTGGCAACCAGCTAAATGGAGAACCATTAAAAGTGGACATTTGTAAACATAAACTGACAGATAAACACCCCAGCGAAACTTTAAATGCAATCCCACATGCTGGACGTGGCCGGTTGGACAATAAGTTGCCCCAGCAATTTTCATTGGTTTATATTACCTGTGAGCACCGCATGTTCAGCTAGAGAAAGCCGTTAAAATACTTAACAAACGTAGATTGTAAAAGTTTTTACAACAATATAAAATACCAGGCAAAAGTTGTTGTTATACGTACTGCAACCACAACAATCGGAACAACAACAACAGCAGCAAATGCAACCTCTGCTGAAGGACAATTTAACTCGCCAACAACGGCAGTGAGCAATGTGGCCGAGAGAGACCAAGAGGATGAAATTGTGGAATATGGCGATACGATATGTGCAGCTGGAGCAAAAACAAAGCACACGCTCTCTATATATGGGTCAATATGAAACAAAAACCATTGTGAGAATCTATGCGAATAAAAAACAAAACAAGTAAAAGTTATTCGAAGAGTCGACGAAAGGCTAGCCTGACTAGCAGCTGTATCCTGTAAGCAGCTTTGTTATGCAGTTGTAGCGAAAGCAAAGCAGATTCGATTTGAGATTAGAATCAAGGCAATAAGAAGATATCGATTATAGATACATATAGATATAGATAATACGCTTGAAGTCTCTCAGATAAGTTGGCTAAGATTTTCAAGCTCCAAGATAACTATGTTTAGACAGTCGGACAAATGGATATTGTTGAAGAATCAATATAGGCAATGCAGATAGAAATGCCTCTCATTTATACCACTCAGTTACAGGGTATTACCGAGAAGAAAACACATCGAACTTTAATGATAGCCAGCAATTCAAGCTGTGCCTGCGACTGTGAACGAACACAGCGGAAAAGGGCATACCTATTGGTCGTATATGGCGCTATTTAGTGCTACATTTGTTGTCACATGAAACGCACTGCGGAGAACAGAACAAAATGAAAGGATGCACACTGTCAGTGTGTGTGTGTGTGTGTGGGTGAGGTTAGAAACTTGCAACTTGCTTATCAAAAGCTGTTCCACAGTGAATGGGACCGAGCAGTGCCTTCTATTGCTACGATTCGTATGTTCAGACTTGTAATTTGCGCATATGCCATGCCCAATATAGTGTGTTGTTTTTTTACCTTTCTTTTTCTGCTTTTATTTCTTTTTTTTATTTTAGTTAAAGGTTAAACTTGTTATTGTTTGGGGTTTCCAATGATTGCTGCATTAATTGAAATAGGCTGCGTTAGGAATAGAGAGAATGCGAAGGTCTTAAAACAGTATACGAAACAATGATTGCAACAAATTGAATTGTCTTTTTTTTTTGTGAATTTGAATTTGTTTATAACTGTGATTTTTCCACTTCTTATTTCCCCTACTCATAATAACTAATTTCATAGCTAACTCTGATTAACTATCGCCTTTCTATTTGATTTTCACAGAGTTAATCATTTTTTATCTACATTCAAATTTATATGGAAATCTTCTATTGAAGTTATATTTAGTTAAATATTAAATATTGTCAAGTTTTGCCATTAAATATTTACTTTATGAGCAATAAACTTGCATTTCTCAGCTTTGCTGATGTTTTTCTCTTTTTGATTTCGCTTTAAGCCAAAAAGTTTTTCCTGTATTAATGTTATAAGCGCTGCACAATTTCCACCAAGTAAAAGCGCCAAAACTTTTCACATATATTGCTGCGATTTTATTTTTCTATCTTTTTTTCGTTTTATGCACATAAATACTCTGATTAGTTTTTCTTTTATATTTTCAACTTGCAACAAATTTGTCAGCAATTCAACGCTTAGAAAGACATTTATACATTTGATATGCAGATTCTTTTGTTGGATTCGTCATGCACACAAATAATTTTGGTTTATTTTTTCATTTTTTGTTTTGCCTGCTTCTCAGTTATTGACTTTAATAAGTTGGCTAAGTTTGGCAAAAAACTTTGTAGACGAAATGCATTTGAATTGGACATTAAAAGCTGATCAAAAGTTAAGCAGCCAAAGCGAAAACTGCGGGCCAAACACCTCAAAGTGTTGTTCAAAACTCTGGCAAAACAAACAAAGCAAACGATTTGATACCCGCTGGCTAAGCAGTGGGGATGCTGGGGTGTCTGAGGTGGCTGTTGTGGTGCGGCAAAGTGTTGCCAAATAACGAGGGTACCACTGAGAGTGTTGCCTTATAAGTGTTGCCACAGAAGTGACAACCAGGCACACACACACAAGTGTGTGTGAGCGAGGGAATGAGTAGGAGAACCACTTCAGACCGAGACACGCGACCGCCGGCAGCACCGCAATGACCTGACCAGAAAAACTGCTCACCAGCTGATGACTGAGGACGCCGACTGTCGACTGTCAACGGTCGACTGTGGACTGTCAACACCGCAACCAACACCAACCGATCCGACTGGACCCTGTCCACTCTGTTCACTTTTCGACTGGCCATCCTTGTCTTGCAGCCATTTCAACTTTGGAATTTCAATAAGGTTCTGGACGTAGCTGAGCGAAAATGCCGCAGGTGCTGGTAGGCATAAAAGGGTAGCAGCGGGTAGCGTGCAGCAGAAAACGCAAAAGTAAAGCAAATAAGCCAAAAAGTAAATACATAAATTAAAAGTGTTAAGGCGCGAAATGTTCAATGCGTGAATTAAATGAAATTGTGTACTTAACAACTGAATATTTGAGTTAAGTGTCGTCTCGGAGCGCAGTTTTCATTCCACAATTGAAAATCAACAATTCGGAATATTTAATATTGATATTTAAAGGACTAAAGTTAACTTTATAATGCAATTGTTATCAATAGCTGCTTCAGCTGTATTCGAGTCAAGTAATTGGTACCTGAACTTGTACTTGTTCGGTTCTGTTCTTAATTTAATAGTTAAGCGTTATACTGTGTACTATAAACTGCTTAAAAGTTTATTTATATATAATTTTATTTATTTTTTACTATAATTATTCATATAATTCCTTAAATATTTACCTTTTTATTATATTTTTAATTATATATAATTAACATATATTAATTAAGATATATTTATATTTATATTTATTCAATTATTTTTTATTGATTTTTATTTTATTTTTATTATTTTTTTAAATTTATTCATACATCTATATTTTATTTTCAAAATTAATTTCAATAATTAAATTTAATTAATTTACATATTAATTGTTTAATTATATTTTATCAAATGATTTAGTTGCCAATTGAGCTAGTTTCATTTAGTTCCATTTACAGATTTGATTTAATTTGATCTCACTAGAAGAAGACTCTCTTCATGATAAACGCAACTAGTTTATTTATATTTTTTTTGTAACCTCTACCATTGAACCCAAAAATTTAGTTCCTTTCTTTCTCTCAATTTTCTCTATTTTCCAAACAATTTTTTATCATCAGCTGTCAATAGTTTATGCAGCTGGCCAG